AAAAACTTCCAGTGTTGGAGCATTCACCGCTTCTGGAGGCAGGTTGTTCCACTGGTTAATTGTTCTAACTGTCAGGAAGTTTCTCCTTAGTTCTAGGTTGCTTCTCTCCTTGATTAGTTTCCACCCGTTGCTTCTTGTCCTGCCTTCAGGCGCTTTGGAGAATAGCTTGACTCCCTCTTCTTTGGGGCAGCCCCTGAGACATTGGAAGACTGCTATCATGTCCCCCCTCGTCCTTCTCTTCGTTAAACTAGACATACCCAATTCCAGCAGCCATTCCTTATATCTTCTTAGCCTAATCCACACTTTTTCAAACATGGAGCAATTAAGAGTGTAAAGTTGCACCCAGAGTGTAAAGTTGCCAATTTTGACAAAACAGGCCTAATCGGGCACACAGCGCGAATGCTGCATCTCAGCCCTACCTGCCCCTCGGTCCCTGCAACGTTTCCCTCCTTTGTCTGCTGGCAGAACGCCTTTGCAGTCATGGGGAAAGGCGGGAAAGCAGCACCCCAGTCCCGAAGCCAGCAGGACTTCAGTCCAGGAATAACAAAATAACAGATTTGGAAGGGACCTTGGAGGTCTTCTAATCCAAAGGTCCCCAACTTTTTGGACACCAGGGACCGGTGCCATGGAGAAAGGGTTTTCTGCAGACCAGAGGGGTGTGTGGTTTTGAATACTGCCTGCGTCCTGAGGATGGAGCTTTGCTTGTTTGTGCAGCCTGCTTGTTGGGGACCCGTTATAGTCCAACCCCCTGCTCAGGCAGGAAGCCCTGTACCACGGGTCGGCAACCCGCAGCTCCAGAGCCGCATGTGGCTCTTTCAGCCTTCTCCTGTGGCTCCCAGCCTCCTCCGCCATTTGCAGAGAGACAGAGAGAGGCACTTGCGCTTCCCTTCTCTCCCCCCCCCTCTCTCTGTGTAAAAAAAGGGTGGCCTCATGCGGTTCTCCAAGCTGACAAGCTTATTGGGCGGGGCTTCTCTTTTGCTGCGTCTCTGCAGGAAGCAGGAAGCAGCAGAAAGCTGCAAGCAGCATCTCTCTCTTTCTCTCTCTCTCTCTCTCTCACACACACACACATACACACTGAGTGGGGGAAGAGGACTGGCAGACCAAGGGCAGGAGAGAGCCAGCCAATAAGAATGTGTGTCAGCTTGTCGGAGAACAGCGTGAAGCCAGCTTGCCAGGTGAGCAGAAGATTGGAGAGAGGGGGAGGGGGGAGAGAGGAAAGATAGAGAGAGGAAGAGAGAGACGGAGAGGGAGAGAGAGGGCGGAGAGAGAGGAAGAGAGGGGGAGAAAAAGAGAGGAAGAGAGAGGGGAAGGGGGGGAAACTGATGCACAGCACCTTCTATTTCTTTTTAATTAAACTCTTCAATCAAGCCTCCCCCTCCGGCTCTCTGTGAGAAACAAGGAACGGTTGCTGGAACTGGGTATGTCTAGTTTAACAAAGAGAAGGACGAGGGGGGACATGATAGCAGTGTTTCAGTATCTCAGGGGCTGCCCCAAAGAAGAGGAGAGTCAAGCTATTCTCCAAAGCGCCTGAAGGCAGAAGAAGCAAAGGATGGAAACTAACCAAGGAGAGAAGCAACCTGGAACTAAGGAGAAACTTCCTGACAGTTAGAACAATTAACCAATGGAACAACCTGCCTCCAGAAGCGGTGAATGCTCCAACACTGGAAGTTTTTAAGAAGAGACTGGACAGCCATTTGTATAGGGGTTTCCTGCCTGAGCAGGGGGTTGGACTAGATGACCTCCAAGGTCCCTTCCAACTTTATTATTATTGTTATTGTTGTTGTTGTTGTTGTTGTTATTATTATTATTATTATTATTAATAATAATAATAATAATAATAATAATAATAATAATAATAATAATAATAATAACAGTTGGATGGGACCTTGGAGGTCATCTAGTCCAACCCGCTAGGGGCTCAGGCAGGAAACCCTATACCATTTCAGGCAAATGGCTGTCCAGTCTCTTCTTAAAGACTTCCAGTGTTGGAGCATTCACCGCTTCTGGAGGCAGGTTGTTCCACTGGTTAATAATAATAATGATAAAGTTGGAAGGGACCTTGGAGGTCATCTAGTCCAACCCTCTGCTCAGGCAGGAAACCCTATACCATTTCAGACAGATGGCTGTCCAGTCTCTTCTTAAAAACCTCCAGTGTTGGAGCATTCACCGCTTCTGGAGGCAGGTTGTTCCACTGGCTAATTGTTCTGTCAGGAAGTTTCTCCTTAGTTCTAGGTTGCTTCTCTCCTTGATTAGTTTCCATCCTTTGCTCCTTGTCCTGCCTTCAAGCGCTTTGGAAAATAGCTTGACTCCCTCTTCTTTGTGGCAGCCCCTGAGATATTGGAACAATTGTTCTGTCAGGAAGTTTCTCCTTAGTTCTAGGTTGCTTCTAGGGAAGGAGGAAGTAAGGAGAACCCCTTCTGAAGAGAAACTGACCCAGAGGCCTAACTCGACTGTTTTAACGGGAACTCTTAGACAGGCAACCAATGACAGGGGCCTTGCCTCCTACTCCCATGCCCATCATCCCTGCCCTCCCCCTTCCCCTCAGGTGCGCTCCTCTTTCACGCCCTTTCGAGGAATCCTGGCACTCTGCGCAGACTCGCCCAGGGGCCGCGCTCTGCCAAGAGAAGGGAACGCCAGGAGCTTCCCCATTGGTCCACTGGAGGGCGAACGTCACAGCTGGCTTTCCAGAGGAGGCGAGGCGTCATAAACGCCTGCCGCTCTGGGACGCCATACTCGCTCTCCTTAACCCCTGGAGCTCCGCGGGAGGCGAAGAGGCTGCGGGAGCGTCTCGCGGGTAAGAGATTCGCACGTGTCTTGGGGAGGGGGATATTCCCGTGCAAAAGGAGATGGAGGAGGGGGAGACCCGTGCACGGCCCTCCTCCGGGTGCAATCCCGGGTCCCATGTTCCCCAGCTGCCCTCTCCATGCAGGGAGGGAAGCGGAGCTCCAGAGTAACAGCTGCAGTAGAAGAACCGGGGATCCCAGGAAGGCGGCGGGGATCCGGGTGTCCCTTCCCGCCCCGTATCCGGGGAAGAAGAGCCCGAGTGGGGGGAGACGAGGGTCGGCCTGGCGGAGGCACAGCAGGAGAGGAAAGAAGCCAGGCGAGGAGGCAGGGTTGTGTGAACCTGCCTGCGTGTTAGAGGGAGACACGGATCTCCAAAGGCCACCCAGAAGAAGGGAAAGGGGGCACCCCCAGCCAGGGTCGTTTCCTGCCATTTCATTGGATGTGAACTGATGTTTCATGGTTTGTTCACCTGTTTGGGGTCTGGCAGGTTGTGTGAACCCTGCTTGGAGGTGAATGTAGATCAACATTTTTAAAAGAGGAAACTTTCCTTGTAAGGAAAAAATAGTGTGGGAAGTCAGCCCCCCAGAGAAGGAAATATTAAAATGGCAGGAAAATATATTTTCTCAAAGGATCTTAAAGAGACAGAAAAGCATGCCCAGTTTTTCTTAATAGCCCCAAGTCTGCCTCCCCCAAGCAGAAACCACCTCTATACAAATGCAGATGTAACCATCAGGAATGTTGGAGCTAGGAGATTAGGAAGACAAAGACCTAAAATCTGCATACCCCACCTGAGACAGGACATGGTAGGATTAACTCACCAAGGCCAAAGGGCACACCCAAACTCAGGTCAGAATACATGACACAGGAAATAGCCTCAAAACAGGAACAGGAAATAACTCCAAACGAAAGGCTGGGGGGGGGGTATAAAAAATCTACTCCCTACATGTGCTAAGTCCTTTTTTTTTCCACTTCTCTTGCTGCCAGAACCATCTTCCTGTCTGATCTCCTCTCCAATAAACTACAACCTTTTCCCCAAAGCAGTTGCCATGTTTATTCCCAGCTTGGATGAACCATGGTGAAGACCTTTCTTCCAACAATAGTGTACCACACAAATGCGCACATCTACCCACAAAAAGAGGACTTATCTGCTCAGGGACACTGGAATCCTATACCAGTTTCGGAAAAGTATTTCCATGGGAATGAGTCTTGTTCAATGGTTAAAATTCTGCACTTTCTAATTCTTGGAATTTATTTTCTTTTCTATCTCAGATGACACAAAGGGGAAACCATTTGTACCTGTTTGCGTACAAAATTATTTCTTGGGGAGCGAGTTCTAAATGGTCATCTGTGGTCCTGGTGGCTACGGGATCGGTCCTATGAATGAAAAAAGCGTTTGGAAATGGTCTTTGTGAATGAAAAGGCATTTAAAGATCTACAAGATTCCTTGGACCCATTTGGAATTGTATTACAAGACGGGGACAGAATGGAGACACAACTTTTAGCAAATGAAGCAACTGGAAAAGGCCCTCCAGTTATTCAGCCTGGCAGCTGTGGGCATAGCTGGACGAGAACTGGGCAAGATATCCTGGAGGAGGAAACCATGGTCTGCTCAAATGTTCAGCCCTGGATCTTCAAGAGAGTCCAACATCAGAAGGCTCCCCAAAGACTTTGCAGCCGACTCCACAACTTTTGTTGCCGGTGGTTGAGACCAGAAAAGCATACTAAAGCCCAGATGATGGACCTAGTTGTTCTGGAGCAGTTCCTGGCCCGTCTGTCCCCAGAGATGGAGAGCTGGATGCTGGAATGTGGAGCAGAAACCAGCTCCCAAGCGGTGGCCCTGGTTGAAAGCTTGCTCCTGAGCCAGGCGGAGGAGAAGAAAGAACAGGTCGACTTGCAGGTGAGAGACCGTCATCTGGGGACTCCAGTAGGGAATAAAGAATGGGGTTGCGTTCTTCATCCTTCCATTCCAGACATCTCTGGCACTCATAGTACATAGAGGTCCTTCACTAATTCTGGTAGGACATTGTTCCATTATGCGTTGTAGGAATTAAATTGGGGACAGCTGTTCCTTTGATTACCACCTCCTTGATGATGCTGGGAACTCTGAAACTGTGTTCAGAGAACAAGAATCCATTTCATGTTGTGTTATGTCTCTTGTTGGGGGGCAACAGGCTGACTTTGTAACCCGCTTAGAGAGGGCTGGTAAAGCACTGTGAAATGGTATATAAGTCTAAGCGCTATTGCTGTTAATTCCACTTCTTTTCTCCTGCCTCCTATTTCAAGTCCTTCGCTGGGGAGGTCAGGGATCCATCAAATCCCTCTCAGATGCTGCTTTTCAGGAGGATCGCTCAGGAAGATCCAAGTCAGGATACATCAGGAGGTAATTGAAGATCTTTCTATTCCACAGTGAGGTCCCAGCTGTCTCATCTTCTTTATGTATTCTATTATCCCTACTAGCTGTACCCAGCCACGCGTTGCTGTGGCTCAGTCTGGTTAAATGGAAAAGAAAGAAAAGAGAAAGCGCACGTTTCTAATATGTTTAATTTCACAGTGCTTGTGGGTATACAATATTTTTTGTTGTTCCATTGTCTGTGCATCAATTCCAATGCAATGTCAAACGAAATAATTAAATCAAAATGAAAATAAATCGAAATCTATGAAAATTCAATTTAACAATGCAATCGGAAACATTGAAATGGAATCGTAAAATTGGAAATTTGGAAATTGTAAATGGATCATAAATCGGAAACATTGAAATGGAATGGTAAAATCGTAGCGTGTGTTGCTTTTACGTCCAACAGATGCCGCTGTTTTTCAAAAAAAGCATGTTTTTACCTGTCACAGGTGTGACATCTATATAATAGTAGGTATATAAAAACACGCGCGTATTCGAATGCAACGTTGTGTCAAAATTTCAAAGCAGTCGGTGAAGAACTTTCGGAGATTTAAGATTTTGAACAAACGAACATTTACATTTTTATTTATATAGATAGATTACTTTAATTATGTATTTTAAAATTCTGTATCCCTTACAGGAAAGAGTCAAATGAAGTTGTCTGCTCTTTATGATGGAGATGAAATAGTGATAAAACTTCCAACTCAAGTAAGAGGGGAAAATTAATTTATTAGAGTTATGTTTTCCCTTTTCTTCAGGAAATGAAGCTGATGTACAAAGCATTTTCTCCTCACAGTTGTTCCTCTTGTTTGGGCTGGGTTATTTTTGTGTTCCTCAGCAAATGTAAAGGGGAATAGAAGATTCAAGTTGCTATCAGTCAGCTTAGTTTTCTTTGAAGTCATTTGGATCCTGTGGTTTGTAATTTCTACCATTATCAGGAAATATTTTTAAAGTCCTGCTCTTCACTCTTCTGGTTACTCTTCCTGGCATTAGTTTAATAATAATAATAATAATAATAATAATAATAATAATAATAATAATAATAATAATAATAAAGTTGGAAGGGACCTTGGAGGTCATCTAGTCCAACCCCCTGCTCAGGCAGGAAACCCTATACCATTTCAGACAAAGAATTAATTTAATATATTATATTAAATTATATTAATTATATTAATATAATATATTATAACTTTATCATAGCCATATGCCTACTGAATAGAATCCTATTTTTTTTTTAGCTCTTAGATTTGGAATTGGGCAAGATTGCTGAACAATAACTAACAGTTAGAACAATTAACCAGTGGAACAGCCTGCCTCCAGAAGCGGTGAATGCTCCAACACTGGAAGTTTTTAAGAAGAAATTGGACAGCCATTTGTCCGAAATGGTATAGGGTTTCCTGCCTGAGCAGGGGGTTCGACTAGATGACCTCCAAGGTCCCTTCCAACTTTATCATTATTATTATTATTATAAATGCTTTAAAATTTTAAAAAGCCATTTTTTTTACCACCAATGATAACAAGAACATGTGCATCAGACTGAAAAATAAAACAAACTATTAAAAATCTTACAAAGATGGCCAGGTGAAAAATTTTTTTAATTAAAGTTTATTCTATAAGAGCACATAATCAAAGTAATTTCTAATCCTCTGATTTGTGCCTGAAGGCCAAACAATCCCAGGTTCATAAAGCCTGAGAAATATGCTCCTCACAATTTTCTCCCCCCTCTAGCTTATAGCCAATAGCTTGGACTTTCTTTGTAATCTGAGGAGAAGCAGAAACAGGATTGTGTGTCTCTGGATATTGAAGGCATCCCTTGCTTAAATTCCTGGCTGAGTTCTTCATGAAGGTGTTGAGATGGCTAGGATTGTTTGCATTAGTGGCGAATATTAATACCATTTTACAATGCCTTGGTAAGGCCACACTTGGAATACTGCATCCAGTTTTGGTCACCACGATGTAAAAAAAGATGTTGAGACTCTAGAACAGACATGTCAAACACAAGGCCCGGGGGCCAGATGCGGCCTGCGAAGTGGTTTCATGTGGCCCGTGAAGCCATCCTGGAAACAGTGAGGGAACGGCCCCCGTCTGCCTTGGCCCTGGCCCACGCCAGCCAGGAGCCAATGTACAATTTTGTGGTGGCCATCTATGCTGAAATGCATTCAGTCTTAGCTCCATAAGCCCCCCCCCCACATGGCCTGAGAGGAACAGTGAGGTTCCTCCAGTGGACCATGCCTTGGCACTTGCCCCGGTCCCACCCCCTTCTGCCAGAGACCCTCAGATCTATCCCACTCCTGCCCAGGCCCCCACAGGCACCCTTGATACGAACGATGTACAGCTGGCCACGCCCACCCAGTAGGCCACACCCACTCCATCCATGCCCACTCAGTAGGCCACACCCACCCTGGCCACACCCACCCACCCCCCTGAGGGCAACTGCAATGCTGATGCGTCCCTCAATGAAATTGAGTTTGACACCCCTGCTCTAGAAAGAGTGCAGAGAAGAGCAACAAATATGATGTGGGGACTGGAGGCTAAAACATATAAAGAACGGTTGCTGGAATTGGGTATGTCTAGTTTAATGAAGAGAAGGACGAGGGGGACATGATAGCAGTGTTCCAATATCTCAGGGGCTGCCACAAAGAAGAGGGAGTCAAGCTATTCTCCAAAGTGCCAATTAAGTGCCAGTTAGACCAATTAACCAGTGGAACAATCTGCCTCCAGAAGCAGTGGATGCTCCAACACTGGAAGTTTTTAAGAAGAGACTGGACAGCCATTTGTCCGAAATGGTATAGTGTTTCCTGCCTGAGCAGGGGGTTGGACTAGATGACCTCCAAGGTCCCTTCCAACTTTAATATTATTATTATTATGGATCATTGCACAGTCAGCCAGATGTTCAGACTGGATTTGGCATTTTGTCTACCTATCGAGTCCTTACCAAGGACCTGGGATAGGCAGATGTGGATGTTTGATGGTATTACAGATATCGTCGCAGGATGGAAGCAGTTCCTAGTAAGGCCTTTTGCAATTGACTAATGGCAAATTTGTCAATGCCAATGGTGTTCAAGTGGTGCTCCAGTTGTCTTGGGATTGCACCCAAGGTGCCTATTACTATTGGTACTATTATTATTATTATTATGGATCATCGCACAGTCAGCCAGATGTTCAGACTGGATTTGGCATTTTGTCTACCTATTGAGTCCTTTTCCAGGACCTGGGATAGGCATATGTGGATGTTTGATGGTATTACAGATATCGTCGCAGGATGGAAGCAGTTCCTAGTAAGGCCGCCTTTTGCAATTGACTAATAGCGAATTTGTCAATGCCAATGGTGTTCAAGTGGTGCTCCAGTTGTTTTGGAATTGCACCTAAGGTGCCTATTACTATTGGTACTACTTTTGCTTGCTTTTGCCACAGTCTTTCTAT